CAGATGTTAGCATAACTGACCCGATAGTGCGTGAGGGATGTGCACTAAGTACGAAAGGACTATGCCCTACAAGGTATCATGCATCTTGTAGGAAAAGCGCATCCATATTGTTATCAGGGGATGCAAGAACCCACCGGCCCTTCACCTACTCACGCTGTAGGACTCAACACTGCTTCTAACTTCACTTCCTCACACAGGCCCAGCACTACTCTAGCGTAAGGAGCTTCCGGCTTCCTGCAAGGAGCCTCCAGCTGGTTGTCTTCTACCACCACTTCTCAGAAGTGAACCACACACACTGAAGAGCACATCTTAACTCCGCTGCCCCAGGAGGTCGCAGAGCCACAGCGGGGCACTGGCTGCATATACAGCTCCCAAGGCAGCACAGACCTGACAGGGGAGAGGGCACTGACTTCTGAATATCTAAGCAAGGATATGGCCTCCCCTCAAGTGTTGCTGTTTGTGGCCTTGCTATTTGTCACCTTGTTCTCCTCTGCTTTCCCTGCCCCTTCTCTGCCTCCATTCCATTTCTCTCTGTTCTCTTTATATGCAAATGTTGCTGTTCATAATGGCTTCTACAAAGAGTTCATACAAGAATGCAGGGTGTCTTTCTTTCCTTCTTCCACATACAAGACAGACTTTAAATTGTTAAATCTTTCTAATTCTTGTTTATAATGCATTTTTTTTTCCTCTCCCCAATCACCACTATTTATACTATCCACATTTAGTCAAACATCACTAATGAATGAATATAGAAGACCTTTAACTATCTTACTGATAAAAGTAGTACCAGAGTAAAACTGTAATACTCTTATATTACTCTTTGTTTTTGCAAAGTTAAAGATCACAAATTAAAAAACTAAAATTCTCGATTGCAACCACTTAATACAAACCAAAATTTAACTATACGTTTCAAAATATATTAAGGGCTATTCTGCCTCAAAATATGTGAAATGGCAATTAAAATTATAGACAAAAGTCTGATTCAATAGATATTATTTGCATATAAAGCATGTCAAGATTATTAGTTAGAATGAAGAATATTTAATAACATGAAAATTAAATATGTGACACTGTGAAATATCAGCTTTTAAAAAAACATTACATCAATATTGCTACGGGATGTAAGATCGGTGCTAATTGGTTCAGGAGATGAAAACAATCCTTCACTCTGTGGAGGTTAGTAAGGTAATAGTTAAAAGCTACCTCCACGTGATTCTCCAACTCCATTAATTTAAATAATGTACTTTTGAAGAGACTGCATTGAGTAACTTTCAGGTTTTTGACAGGAACTATAATCTTTTCATTGATAATGAGCGATAGTTTTTGTTTCAAACAAAGCATTTCTAGCTCTTCTTTGTCTTTTAAAGTTTGATAATGTAGAAAAGGAGATTCATAGCAGTTACCTGTTATTAGCTAAATAATCTCATGCTCAAATTAACTTGTTCAGAAGAAGTCTCTGAACTTGTGCAAAAACTACTTTTAAAATAGAAACTGTTGTTCAATTGTCTTCGTTCTCTTCAGAATTATATAGATACAGAAGACGGCTTTCAAAATTAATGTGCTTTTCTTCAACCAGCTCTTTTCATTAGCATGTAATGGAGCAGAAAAGAGTTGCTCAGTGCCATTTTCCTCATGATGAAGCCCCACAGTTGCACGTGTAGCAAGGGGTTTCTCCCTCCTATTGTCTTGATTGCATTAGTCATACATAAGGAGCTTCGCACATTACCACAGACTTTTGCCTGCTGTGACTTCAGGTTTACAAATAGTGAATAGATTTGTGTTTTTTAGCATAGATTTAATATATCTACCACTATGATCTATTCAAGTGATCTAGATTTCAGACTTTTGAAAATCACTGCATCACACTGAAATGCATTTAACAATAGCCACATAAAATGGAAATTAATGCTCTTTATTAGTTTCTGAAATTATTCCATTCAAACTATTTTCTATCTTTTCCCAGAAGTACTTGATAGGAAGTAAAGGCAATATGTTTATCTCCTGAGGACACCCCTAAGTGGCTTCTGTCTGCTTTCCAAAAAAGAAAGAACCCTTTTAGTATGGGCTGTGCTTTCCCGGTTTCTCTCTCCAACTCTTTTATTATCTTTCCTCATCTTTTTGCTTTGCCTTTAAACCATACAAAATGACCAGCAGTTCCCCAGCTGAATATTTTTTGTCCTGAGGTCTTTGCCCCTGCTGCAAAGCATTGCTGCTCCATTTTCACCTGGGTGACATCCAGGTGTCTTTGGGGGCTTAGCTGGGTTGCCCTCTGCATGGAAAAGGCTTTTCAATTTTACTCAGCCTGGGATAGACACTAATATGTGTGTCGCTAAAAAATCACTACTTTGAGATTTGTGCCTGACTCAGAACAAATAAGCCCTGAATTAAAACAGATGAATGTAAGGGACAGCTCCAGGACAGCATGGGGGACAGTCCACAAAGAAAGGGAAAGCAGATGGAAAGAGCAACTGGCATAGCTAAGAGCTCCGAGCAGAAGAGCTGAACTACGCAGAAGGGCACCTTTCCTATCACTGAGAGAGCACCTGGCAAATCACAAAGAAAATGATCGAGAACTCAAAGCCTGTAAAAGAACGCTGTCTCAGGACAATCATATTAAAGTAAATAAGCTTTATGATGCAGCAACACTGTAAAACAGATCTCCTTAAAAGTTTGATGAGTTAGGAAACACACTGGAGAGACTCAGTTTTACACAGACATACTAACGTTAGGGATCAATATACAACTTATTTCCTTGGAACTGTGCCGCAGAAAGATGTCTACAGGCAGGGGCAGAACATTCCATTAGACTTTAAATGGAATAAAAGTCAACTGTAAAAGCTGTCCCTGATCTCGCATCCCCTCCTTTGCTCTTACTGCCATGTGGAGCTCCCTGAGGCTCTGCTCAATGCCAGCATTTTGCAGAACAGGTGCTAGTGATCTACGTGCTGTCACCAGCACCCAAGAAGGAACTTGTCTTATTGCTAAATGCTGAGAAAAAAAAAGATCTCGATTCACTGGAGTCATGGATTGGCACTGTTCCAGCTCATATTATAAACTGTAAGGTTTGTCTTTTTCTTCCAGCAAGCAAGAAGTGACACATTTCCAGAATTCAGGATTACTGAATCCCACCTAATGGCACAGTCAACTCCACAAACCTATGTGTTATTCAGCTCCTTGGGGGGCTGAGCATCAGGGAACACTTACTGTCTAGAGGGAAGGAAGATTTAGTAACTACTTCATTGTAACCTAACAATCATACAACCCTCCTCATTATTTTGCTGTTATTCCTGTGTGCATTGTGCATATAAAAATTAGTCTTCTCAAAAAAAAATCCTAAACAAAACTCTAACTTAAAATTCTTTCTTACAACTTAATTTCAAAATACAACAGAAAACCCCCTAATTTTCCATCCTTTGACACTTAGTTTATTTAGTCTAGTTTATTTTATTCTTATGACTCTATTTGTTTTCTTTCATTTTTTTCCCCTTCAGTCTATCTTGAACAAATATTTTGAATGTTATTTGAGGTTATTGCTTGTATTGTATACTAATAACAAATAGTGGAAGTAACTAAGGAATATTTTGTGCTTTACATTTGGTAATGTTTTTCTCTATAATTATTAATTACTTCATTTAATAATGTCAACAATTTAGAGCATACCTATGAATGTAAATGTTAAAAATGAGAAAACAAGATGAAATAATAAATGAATCACACAATCTGATACATAACAAATGAGTTGCTATCCACTGCTTTCAAATTCTGTGTTTTTAATATTTTGGCTTTCTGAGCGATTTGGTGTTTAACAATTAGGAATGTTCTGTAATCTCTTTAGAAAATGCTGAAGGAAATAAAAAGATTTTAGTAAGACAGTACTGTGTGTGATTACAAAACATTCATTACTTGTGATGAGCACAGTTCTAAGAAAACGTAAAACTTAAGATAGAAGCCAAAACTCTGCAAACTTAGCATAAACCTTACTGCAGAAGATTATTTATCCCCACTATAAAGTACATGGATTTTGGTCTCCCTTTTCCCCCACCTGCGTCCCTCCCTACAGCATCCTCATGCTCTCCTCATTACAAGTCTTTCGCCTGCGCTAACTTCTTTCCAATAGGCAATGGCCCTTTATGGAGCATTTCTTTCCCCAGCCTCCAAATCCTCACTGAATTCAAGGTCAACTATGGAAAGAATCTTCCCAAGAGCCTGGGGGAGGAAGGGAAGGAAAAATGAAACTATCACAGTGCTAAGTGGCTTTTGGCTGGGTGGAAAGAGGAAAT